CCCTCTGTTGGTCTGATTAAATGCACAGTATCGCAGACTGTTATGGATTCAACTGTATCCCAAACCCCAAATGCATATGTTAAGTCCTAGCCCCCCATATCTCAGAATGTGACCTTTATTTGGAAACATCGTCTTTGCAGATGTATTAGTTAAGATGAAGTCACCTGCCTCTCCCATTGCTCTGCAACATCTTTGAATGTAAAAAAATAACAAATTTTTTAAAAAAATAAAATAAATAAATTTTTAAAAATGGTTTAACCAAGATGGATAGTCATTAAACAAAAAAGAAAAGATGAGGTCATACTGGAGTATGGTGGGCCACTAATCCTATAGGACTGTTATTCTTATAAAAAGAAGAAATTTGAACACAGAGACACATGCACAAAAAATGAATGCCATGTGAAGATTGGAGTCATGCTGCCACAAGCCAAAGAACTCTAAGAAGCTAGGAAAGAGGCCTGGAACAGATCCTTCTGTAGTGCCTTCAGAGGAGGCATGGCCCTGCTGATACCTTGATCTCAAACTTCTAGCCTCCAGAACTGTTAAGATAAATTTCTGTTGTTTAGGCCACTCCATTTGTGATACCTTAAGGTGGCCCTAGCAAACTAATACATATTCCATTATATAATGTTACACATATTTAAGTAATTGTATATATAGGTTGCCAAAACATAAAAAGACCAACTTGTGATAATAATGTGTCTATTAATACATTAATTAGCAAGTTCTTATAATGATGTGTGTAAACAATATTTTGAGATATCTGCAACAACTACAGAATGATATAACAAAAACCTGTGCTTTCAACTGATGGCAAAGTCATGGGCATTGCTAATTCTGCTAGGCTGTAGCCTACATTCACAATGGAAGGAAATCACATGCCCTGAATTGTATCCAGTGATCCTAGGTTAAGAAAACTGGCTTTAGAATACTGGCTTTAGAATTACTAAGCTGGTCTTATTAATAATAAATATATATAAGTGAATACTTTGAATACAAAAGTGTATTCTCATGTACCAGTGAGTTTCCTACACTCTCAAAAAGTAATGGTATCATTTTTTCTCTTTCCAAAGTACGTAGGTGGTTAATATTTAAGGTCTTTGGAGAAAGAATACGTAACTTTGATTTGCTTCATAACTGAGTCAGAAATAACGTATAATCTTTAAGAGGTTATAAATACACTAGTAACTAAAAGTGCTTACCCTTGACTTCTGGGGTCTTCCCATTGCGTAATTCGAGTGTTGTGGTTGACAAAGTATACTCTACCATTGCTGTCCGTTCTCTTCTCTTTATTTAAAAAAAAAAAAAAAGCAAAACAGTGTTGGCACAGTCTTCTTCCTCAAATAAAAACATCTGCCCAATTGTCATTGTGTTGTTGATTTGGTAGTTTAATCACAACTTTAAAAGGTTTAATTTATTCTTTAACTATTAAATACATACTTATTAAAGTTACAGAAATATCACTATATCCTAGAAGCTAAATTGACTTAACTCACAATGTATTGCCTGACTTTCTGCTCAATCCAGTCAAGAGCAGAAAGAATAATTAATAGTTATTTAGCTTTTCACACATGACTTTATTTTATTCTTAATAGCCCCATGGGGTAAGTGATTTTATTTTTACCCTGAAGATAAGAAAACTCAAACAGGTTGAGGGATCTACCTGAAACCTCACAATTAAATAAGAGAAATAAGATGGAAACAGGTCTCCACTCAGCAATTTTTTCCATACCACACCATCTCATTTCTTAAAATATAATTGGGGAATATTACTTAATTATTTCTTTGGAACATTCTAGGCATCGTTCTACTAAGAAAGACTGTTTCTCTTTTAATATATCCTATTTCTTAATATACCCAGTTCCAAAATTCTAAATATATATAGTGTAGTAACTTTCTACACAAGGCCTGGGCAGCAGTGCTCAGTTCTCTAATTACTTGATCCAAAGCTACTACTTGTTCCACCTCCTTTTGCTTTAAGATTCTCCTTGTTTTTTTGCTCTCATTCTACAATATTTCCTCTGCTTTCCAGAGCTTTTCATATTAAGAGTTAGAAAATATGTGGATATCATTTTCTCTTTTAATAACCAAATCAAATATCTTTGAAATTTTAATATTAAGTTCTGCTATCTTTGAACTACTGATTTCTCTGCTCCATTACCAAAAGAGTCCCATCCTTAAAAAGATGGTATTCTTCCTATATTTGAATTTATTTGGTCAAAATGTCTCAAAATAAATAATTCATGTATTAAAGATTACAGAATGGGCCTGAACTTTTAAAAAAGCATATTTTCTAAGAATTAGCAATTTTCAAACAAACAAAAAAAAATTTTTTTCCTCCAAATAAAATTTTAAGCTTTATCCATGTTGACAAAGCTAATTTCTTATGGTTTGAAAAATTGATATCTATTTTTCAAATAACATTTAGATCCTTTGGATCTTTCTTTAAACAGGACGAGTCTTAGGCCAAATCAGAGCCTTGTCAAGTTAGTATTTAGTAACATTTAACTATATTTCCAGCACTGATTCCATGATCAAGTAGTAATGAGGTTATGGTTTACAATGGATGTACACTGCTCATGAAATCTCAGCTGCTTTCTATATCAGCTGAGCCTAAAATGGAAAGAGAACTCCAGCTGTGCACAATACACAGAAAAACAGGACTCTGGATCTTGTGACACACTTTGAATATTAACATATGGATTCACTGATCAAGGCATCTTCAGTGCAGAAACATGTTACCAGCTACATGGCTGTCTCTGAAGCAAAAATAAGCACCTATAGTGCCACATCTTACATTTGTTAAATGATAGGAAGGTAAGTTCATGTCTTGGCAGTCAAATTACATTTTAAAAATTTAATATATTTCCAGAATCTAGAATTATCTTTCTTGTTTAAAAATATGTATCCAAATAATTTTTTAAAAATAATCTTTATAACCTAAAAATAATACCCTAAAGTGCATAGTTGAGCATATTCATCTTTTGTCTGCCATGTGAGTTCAGATTTTAGGGCTAGAGATTTTCCCTTCAGAAGCTAACATGAGGGAAGATTTCCCCATGTATGTTCTAAGTATACACTGCTGATACCAGCATTGCTTAGAAGAGGCTTGAAAAACAGAAAAATCTTAAAGTGAACACTTGCAACCTGAGGGCTCATCTACTAAATGACAGGAAATACTGTGACTGTAGAGATGATATGTAAAAAAAAAAAAAAATTCACATGATAAACAATACTGAAATTACTGAACATCAAACCTGAATGCACATCAGAATACTTCCTGACTTGATGAACAAAACAGTAAAAACAAGTTTCTTGCTGTTGCATGTATTCTTTCACAGCAACTAGGAAAATATCTTTATTCTTGATAGGTAAACTAGCTATATACAAAGCCCTATTAGACTACATTGTTGAACCAAAAGCATTTTGGTTCTCTAGCTTACATAGTGTGTATGTGTTAAAAATTCTTCACTGTTGGGGCCGGCCTGGTGGTGCACTGGATAGTGCGCCGCTTGGGAAGCGCGGCGGCGCTCCCGCCCGAGGGTTCGGATCCCACGTACAGGCGACCGGTTCCCGCTCCCTGGCTGAGCGAGGCGCGGGAGCAACACCGAGGGTTGCAATCCCGTTGCCGGTCCCCGGTCCGGTACGGGGGCAACACTGAGGGTTGCGATCCGTTGCTGGACACGGGTAAAAAGACAAAAAGACAAAAAAAAAAAAAAATTCTTC